GTATTTGTAGATTTGCAGATTTTAACCTATTTTACTAAATATTATTTATTCTAAAATGTTACTATTGATATTAAAATTATATATTTTGATGATGTGTATGTTTTAGTAGTGTTTTTCTTATGACCAGTACTACAATATGAGATAATAATTTATGTTAATTTACAACTGTCTTTGAGTTTTGCAAGTCTGGAAACATTGTAGTTCTATATTGGTTCAAACTAACATGGTTCAAAGCACTGTGGTACCAACAAGGTACGACATTTTTGGGAAACCGTCGTACATCAGGTGATAGCTGTACGGGAAATGCACCCCTGGTTGAGGGTGAAAATGGAATGGAAAAAATGAAAACAAAAGTGCCAAGTCATCGGTCCCGACTCCAGAGGAAATCCTGTGTTCTTTGAAAGAACTGAGCATGTCCTAAACAAAAGGACACACATACTGCTGTGACATTAGGGTAAAAATGAAGATCAGAAAACTTAATGAGGAACTAGTTGTGCAGCTTTTGAAGTAAGCAAATACAGAGTTCAAATATGATAAATATCCATAAGATGCCACCTCAAAAGATACACTGCCAAAACAGATTAACGGCAAGATCAAAATAGAAAGGTTTAAAATACAGAAACGGATAAAACGATGCCATTCAGACAACCCAGAAACAGAAGAGACTACAGATGGAAATTAACTTTTTAGCTATATTGTAAATGGTCTGTATTTGTATAGCCACAGCCACTATATATAAAGCTATTAGCTTTATTATAATAAAGGTATTAAAGCAGTGTCCGTGTTCAATAAGAAATGTAAGCTGCATGTTGGATTTACAGTCTCTTGAAGAGTTGAGTGATTTTTGGCACAGTGCAGAACAGTTTGTTTAAAGCACTTCATACACAGACTAATGAACAATGAAAATATATAGGAAAATGTTTTTTCCACATATATATAAAATCAAATTTTATTTTTATATTTCTGTAACAGTTATTCATTCATGGCAGTGGTGGGTTCAACTATGCACACTAACTCAAGATGTCTGTGTGAAGATATTCAGTCTTCCAGGTAGTAGTTGATGCACACCTGCCCAGTAAAGCACTGGAAAAGGTCACTGATTTCATCAAGATAGCACGGCTGTCTAAACACGGCAAAAGCAAGAAAAGACAGATCTGCGCATTCCAAAACCTACTGTCAGGAGCAGAAGAACATACCTGGCATAACTCCACACGCCATCACACCACAGCAGCTACCAGTGATTGACCTTATCACTGCAACAGAGAGCTCATGATGCACTGAGGCGAGATCCCACCAAGGAAAAAGGCCATGACAATTACAGAAGGACAAACATTTAATGTATCATTGTATCCACAGTGTAAGTTAATGGTTCAAAACCAAAATAATTCCAACTTTATAAAGTTTCATTTATGGTGCTGATAGTTTATGTTCTAGCCTACAATGCAAATATGTGTCAGTCTAGATTCACTTTGCTTTCTTTCTTTTTGGTAATTCAATTTCCCTTTCTTGGGGACAGACATGTCTGAGAATGTACTACCTGCGGCAGCTGAAGAAGTTCAGCCTGCCAAAGATAATGATGGTGCACTTCTACACCGCCATCATTGAGTCCATCCTCACCTCCTCCATCACCATCTGACAAGGGCAGGCTGCAGCGTATCATTCGCTATGCAGAGAAGGTGATTGGCTGCAACCTTCCTTCTCTTCAGGACCTGCACGCCTCCAGGACTCTGAAGCGAGCAGGAAAGATTGCAGCTGACCCCTCCCACCCTGGCCACAAACTGTTTCAGACTGTCCCCTCTGGCAGGAGGCTGCGGTCCATCAGGACCAAAACCTCTCGCCACAAAAACAGCCTCATTAACAAGGCCCGGGTCCCCAACTGACACTCCCCCCTTTTCAAATAATGCAAATGTCTCTGCACATGTAAATATTTCATATCATGCACAAACCTGACATTTTGCACATTTGTTGTAGTTAATCGTTATATATTGTCAATTTATGTACACAGTATTCTCTCCCATTCCAATACATCTGCCTAGCACAAACCCGGAATAATGCACATTTAAATAGCTGCCACATAGTTGGAAGTGGTCATGGCGAGGTGGATAAGACGCATGCCTTTGGTGATCCAGGTTCAACTGCCCACTGTGACCCATCCACCAATGTGTCACTGAGCAAGACACTTAACCTTGGTAACAGCCCCATGTAGGTTAAATAGCTGGCATTCATTACCGGCAAGTCAGAACTGAAGACGCCCCTCGAATGAGAATGTCTGCAAGTATCTTCAACCACGTTCAGTTGCCCCCGATTTTAACAGTCGTTGGTTTACTCAAGCACTGAACTAAACATTTTCTCCTGCTTTTATATCTGAAGGTTCTCAGTCATCCAGGTCATAGTTATCCAACGAAGGTTGACATCAAGGGCAACTGCACTTTACGCGCACGTTATAGTCGAAAACCAACTCCGCAGGACTAAATCCTAACGACTCCTGTTTAGCGTCTCTGATGGCAAAATAAGCAAAAGGCACCCCCCTCATCCCAATTTTTTTTCGTCTCGTAGCAAAACTTTAGCATTTTTTTTGGCATGTAATTTTTTGTGTGTTTTTTACACTTGTGAAAGAACTTTAACTGGTTTTTGAAAAGTGCTCTATAAATAAAGATTATTATTCTCTTTAATGTTTGATGCCAGTGCTTCAGCGCACCTTTACTCTCTGGATGATATGCACTTGACACGGCAGAGATTTTCGGGGTTTCCTTAAACACCTTTGAAAGGAAGTTAGTCTTAGTCTGATCTTGTCTGGAGCATCTTTAAAGCAGTCTCCACCTCAAGTTTTTTCAGCTCCAGCTCTTGGCAAAGCTGAAACTCCCGTTCTCGATCCTCCCTTTCCACATCTAGCTTCGAGCCTGGAGAAGATTCTGAGGTGAGGGGTACAAATTGTGGCAGGGTAACGGGTTTCCTCAACGATCCCTCACGTTGCTGTGTTGGAGTAACATTAACTGCCTGGGAGGCATAAGAAAGGCAAAATAAGAAATCAGCACCCGATGTAAGGACTGAATCAGCTCAGCTGGACACTGCCTATCTAAGCTGAGGAACAGTCTCATGCAAAGGTAACAAACAGGGCAACACTAAACTATTCAACTCACCACCATGAAACGCACACAAGCAGAACAAACCAATTTAAACCAAAAACATGCATCAACCAGCTTTGACTTTCCATAAAAATCACGTACAAGCCCCCAAAGTTGTTACGTCCGGTGGCATCCAGGAGATGTGGGACAAACAGCTGATTAGAATTACCGGGGTGGAAAGTCAAGCAGGTGATACAGGTTTAGGTTTTAACAGGAGTTTAGTATAATCTGACAGCACAACGGGAAACGATCTCCACTGGAGATGATTAGGGAACAACTAAAACAACCCGTAGGCAAAAATAAGGGACTTTAATAATCACAACAATAGTTAGGGGGCATCTGTGAAAGAATAAAAAGACAAGATTAGTAGTTTACACAACAGTCTATAACAGGTGGTCTGGCTCACCGGAGTCCAACCGGGACCAAGACAGTATAACCTGCGCTTTGACGCGGAAGGAGGACACCAACACGATCCCACACTCCTCTTTGCCTGTAGAGCGATCCAGCCGAGGGCCTTATACCTTCTTCCTTTTGTGACCTGTTGTGATTTTGTGGCTGTTTTCACAAAGGTCCATTTAGGGAATCCACAGGATGTAAGTGCTCTCTTCAGGTCACATCACAGGACACCATGGTTTCATCTGGGTCCAGTTTCAGTCCTCGAACTTTGTTTACAAAGTCAATGGAGTTTTGGATGTGGTGGGGTGTGTTACCCACCAAAGGGGCTAAGATGGTAGATATGTGTTTGACAATGTTGTAGGTGACCGAGTTGATACTGCTGATAATAGTGGGGCTCCTTCTTCATGTATTTTGGGTAGTCCATATATGGAGAAGTCTCTTGGATGAGGGACGAAACGTCTACTAGTTTTTCTTCAACCAAGTCCAGTTGTCCTTGACCTCAACCTTTGTTGGACTCCTGCTTTATACTTCTACTTGACTATATTTCATAAGAACTATTGCAGTTTTTATTTTACTACATTTGATTTGAGGAAGGTACTTTACATTTTAAATAAAAAGACAAGATTATAAAATATAAGGCTTAACATTTTTTGGCTTGTGGCCGCACACGAAAAAGCAGCGCATGCTTGGGGCTCTCCTCACATGGTTTTACTGCTAATCTTTTAAAATATGTAAAATTGTGTATTGAAACAGCAAAGATTAAAGTAAAAAACAAAAGTGAAGTTGAAACTGAGGAATTGAACCTCCATTTTAAACACAAACAGCCCACACACCCATGCACTCAATGTTCCTGCTGCAGGCTGGGTAATAGCTTTTCTGTCATCTTGTGGCTGCAGGAGGAAACTACAACTAAAGACCACACAAATGTCACTGATAAAATAAACTTTATTTGTAACAAAGACGAGAGCCGAACATTTACCAGCAGCCATTCCTCCAGTTTTTCCTCACAGCAGTCCTGAGCTGAGTGCAAATGTTAAGGGCTCTCGATGGCTGCTGAAGTCACTGGCAAACATCATGACGGGTAGAAGTTTTCAAACATCGGTTCAGAAACAGAGAAAAAAAATTCTTTAGCTTCTTCGTTAAGCATTCTGGCTGTTTGGTTTTTTTTGTTTGTTTTACCCCTTTACAGTTTAAACTTGCATTAAACCTGATGATGACTTTTATGAACAGGCAAAGCAGACAGCCACTTGGGGCCTCAAGAGCTGGCTGACCGTCTCAAATTGCAGATCCCCCACTAAAAACGTCTGTTGAAATGACATCAACCTGAAAATCTCCCTGCAGGGGCCCCACTTCTTGGGGTTCTTGTCTACCTTTTACTGTTATATTATCAAGATGTGTGTGTGTGAGTTGGCACCATCTTTAGAGATGTCCTATGATTACACACACGCTGTTTTGCAAAAAAACTTAAGATTCCCGAAAGTATTTATATTTTTTTTATTGAAGTCTTGCCAGTAGTATGAATTGATGCCTTGGTTTTGGCATGAGGGGTCAAAGGTCAGGTGAGCGAGGGTTTGGGTTCGTATTTCACTCTGTTGAAGTCATCGACTGTAGTTTCAACTGGAGGCTTCTTCCAGTATTCCTCCAGGCCCAACGCCAGACACAGAGCAATGGCCGCCATCTGCAAAACACACACGATGCTATTCATTATGTTTGGGAATCATGTGATATGTACTGTTATGCATTGCATTGCTTGTTTTCTCGTTGCATTTGACAAGAAATTAGCCTGGATGCCAATCAAAAGCCAATTCAGAATATTTGTAACCCATTTTCAAAACTAGATGACTTCTAAAAACTCAAATCTTGTTTTCTTTTGCCATTCAATGCTTTATTTCCAACATATTATTTTAAGTTTATCGTCTTTGTACAATTTTTCAGGATATGATGAAGACAAACAAGAAATAACATTTTAGCTGAAATCTTATGTTGAATCTTTTTTTATTGTAGAAACTCAAAGTCAAAACTCTAAAGCTTCCAGAAACCCTGCTAGAAACTCTCAAACACATACTTATCCAAAATCTCCTCAGCAAACTCTTAGCACTTTTGCAAACTCATCCGAAGTATATACTGTCCTCTTCAAACTCATTTTATACCTTAAATTATACCTCCAGAAATTCCTTTTCGGTCCTAGAAACCTATTAAACTACAAACTAAAACTTTGTACCTTTTCCAGATACATAGTGTTCTAGAAAGACATCCAAAACACGTACACTTGTATAATTTTGTAAACTATCAACTCTCTGACACTTCTGAAGAACCAAACTTTTCTAGACACACATAACATACAAAAACTCATAGGCTTTCATTAAGACTGGTTCAAGAAATGTAAACACTTCCAGAAACTCACTGTGCTAGAAACATTTCTACACTGAACAAAACTATAAACGCAACATTTTAGTTTTTGCCCCCATTCATCATGAGCTGGACTCAAAGATCTAAGACTTTCTCTATGTACACCTTTTATTGTGGCCAGCCTAAGGCACACCTGCGCAATCCCCATGCTGTCTGATCAGCATCTTGATATGCCACACCTGTGAGGTGGATGGATTATCTCAGCAAAGAAGTGCTCACTAACAGATTTTGACAGATTGGTGAACAATATTTGAGAGAGTGAAAACAAAAGTGTTGCATTTATAATCTTGTTGAGTGTAGAAACATAAACTTGTTTTTATCTAATCCATAAACTCCTAACACTTCAAAAAATGAACTGCGTGCAGAAAGTTAAACTCAAAGATGTAAAACTTTATGTTGTGTAAAAACTTCCAAAACAAACATTTACAAAAACATTTTGCAACAGCAACTCTAGAAACAAACTTATTTAGAATCTTGTAAATTTTTCCAAAAACCATGAACTCTCCAGTAAACCTTTTTCTAAATCTAGATATTATCTATGTAAAGTCTTTTAGAAACTTAAAATCTAGAAATTAGTATCTTCTGTAATTTTCTCCCTCTGTACATTGTCAACTATGTGTGATGCTGTTTGTTTATTATAGTTGATTGTCCAGACTTTTCCTTTTCATGTATTTAGTTCAGTTACTTTATTTAACCCAAGACCTGCCAGTTTGGCGCCTTTGTGTTAACTTGAGAAGGGAAGCTGTTAAATGATGTACCGTAATGGTGGCGAAGGATGAAATGATTCCTATTCTGAGTTTGATGGGGAAGCTCAGGTAACTCTTCAGGATGGGACCGCAGGGCTGCCACAGACAGATGTCAAAGGTCGGCATTCATAAAAACATTTTATCTACATTTGATGTACATTAGGCAAACATAATTTCCTCTGTTTACCCTCCACTGTTGAAAGAAAACAAAGACAAACACAGGGAGACTTATGCTGGTTTCACATTCAATGTAAATTACAAATTCAATTACTACAGCTGTATGATAACAAAGAAACAATTTGCTGTGATTTAGTTGCTATAAATGATGCCAAAATAACATGATGCTGATTTGTTAAAAATATTAAGTCATGCTTTGTCAGGTCTGTAAGCAAAATTATAATCTTACAACTTTAAAAACATTTTTCGAATGGAGTTTGAATCGATCAAGGCTGATCTATGCTAACTTCTTTCATAGTAAAGTACAACCATAGCTGGAATCAAGTAACACACACATTTTCTGGTAGTTCATCCTCGCTTACTTTTCTCTAAAGCCTAGTTCACACAACACGATTTTTAGCCCGATTTGCTGCTCGGCCAGCGTCAGGCTGTGATCTGGAGTAAATCGGCGATTGATCGGCGGTCGCCAGTTTTTATGTGTGAACTACTCGACAACTTGGCACATTGGCTTCTCGACACATTTCTGACACATCGCCGAGTCGCTCAGTAGCTCAGACGATCTCTGCTACCTGTGTGTGCTGATCCATTCTTTCACTCAAATTTTGTCTTTGTTACTATAAAGATAGAAATTATAAACAGCTGTTTCGTGTGTAGGTTTGCGTCATTTCCCGTTTCACATTTCATGTGTGTGTTCTTGAATAAACGTGGTTTGGAGACCAGTGTCGGGTGACTCCGCCGCTTTCAGCTTGTGTAGTGAGTGACCCCTCTAACCAGTCAGTCACGTAGTGTGAACGCCACGACTTCAAGTTGTGTAGTCTGCACAAGCCTTAAGTAGCCTCAGTAGTTCGCTGCTGAGAATTGCAAGTGAAAGTCAACGATTTAATCTCCAAAATACAAGTAAAAAGGTATTTTAATAAAAGTAATTAACTCAGAGCTCCTCCTGCTGTTAAGCTGCTCCGTTATCAGAGCAGAATCCAGTCAGACTGCAGGTATTTATTGGTCCAAATCTCTGGCACTGCCCCAGCTCTCTCCTCCAGAGCTCCCTGTAGCTCAGTAGCTTATCTGCGAGCAGAGGGTCTGTTCCTGTCACAGCATCACAGGAATTTCACGTTCGAGTTGAAAACATTCAACCCATGCGATGGAGCGTTGCACGGTCGTTCACATCACATTCCCTTCAGCCACCCAGTAGGAAATCTCAATCCACATCTTTGCATTGACTCTGTAAACATGCCACACTGGCATCACGGGGTGTGTGTGTGTGTGTGTGTGTGTGTGTGTGAAACCAGCATAAGAGGGTAGGAGGGGGTAAAAAAAGATAGAAATTGAGCACAACGAAGGGAGAAAGTGGGAAGGAAGAAAAAATAGGCATAAACAAAGAAGTAGTTTAAGAGTGTGAAAAAGAAATATGGAAGAAGGAAAGTAAGGAGACCATTTTTTGTTACCTTGGAGTGAACCCATAATTTATCTGTGAGTTTTGTTGTCACCCGGGAAATGTCACTTCCCACCATGACACAAGGCCCCTCTAAGCTGGAGTTACCAGTCTGAGAGCTATGAGAGAAGGAACAAAGCTTAAATCAAGACCAGAGGCATAAAAACATATTTTAAAAAACTTTTTTTTTTTTTACATTTTACTATTTTTTTGTCCGTATAGTGCAGGAGCCTAAGGATGTTGAACATTGAAACATTAAGTTGTAAATTCTAAAAGTTTTAAATTCTTCTCTAACTTGCAGACCTATCTAAACTCTTACAGAAATACCTCTAATAGCTCAAACACTTTAAGAAAAGCTTAAACTCTTCTAGAAATTCATCTTAAAAACCTAACTATGCAAAAAGCTTTAAAATATTTAGAAATATCACAGAAATATAATGTATCAGAAATATTAAAGAACCTTTTTAATTTGCAAAGTCGTACAAAAACTCAACACCTTTTATGAACTTCCCAAACCAGAAGTTACAAAGCATAAAGTCGATGTCTAAATTCTTGTAAAACCCAAAACTATTCAAGAAGAAAATTCTCTCAAAACCCCTTTGAGTAAATCAAATCATAGAAATGGATATTCTTCCCGAAGCTTAAGCACAAGGAAAAACTCTAACTCTTCTGGATATCCAAAAATTCTTTTTGAAATCTTCGTCTAGAGGTTCAAAAGCCAAAATTCAAAAGTTGAAAAATTTACTAGGAACTCTACAAGTTGCCTGGAAATGTGTGTATACACGTAAAATAGAGATGAAAAAATCCTTCTCAAAACTAAGAAAAAAATAACTCTTAAACTATAAGCTCGAATGCTCTTTTATTAACTTTAAAACGCCATTAAATCCAGAAATTCTTAGAGGTTTGAATGTTTTACCTCTGCTGCAGGTCGGAGGCAGGAGGTGTGCAGAAACAGGAAGAAGGAAGTTGATGTTCCCAGTCCTCAAAACTTCTCAAACCACAGCAAGAGTCCTGAGAAAGAGACAAACATTCAGACACTCACTAAAACACAAAGTCACGTTATCTTCAGTGATCTTCTGACTAGTCAAATAAAAAAAATTAAAAAACATATTTAACTCAGCAATTTCAAAACATCAATGATCACTTTGGATTTAAAACTAAGATTAAACTAAGACTTTTGGAAAGTCAGATGTGGAGTTAAAACTAAAACCCGCTTTTATTTCATCAGCAGAGAAATACTCTCCAACAGTCATGCAGGGATTAATTATTATGTAACTCTGTGCAACTTCCCTGTTCTCTGCTGGGAGTTCGTGTGTTTTGTGAGAGGATAAAATGTATTTGATTTATTGTTTTCAGCAGTTGTTCTGTGTAACGTGTGTTAAATTTGTGACAATGTTCTTCTGTTAATTTAAGAGACCTAAAGCTGGACTTACAGCACCAGCAACAATTTAAACCATCTTTCCCCGCTTGTGACAGACATGTTTCTCTAAATTGTGATCTTTTGATGTGATTCCTTCTGGATTAAAACAAGATATGTTTCATTGCATTCTTTCCTTTGCATTTCTTTGTCTCTTACCGAGGCCTGGAGTTTGTTTAGTTCACTCTGGATGTCACGCTCTGCTCTGTGCAGGGGAGTTACATTCAGAAACACCTCCTCCACTGCACTGTCCATCTGCACAACAGAATACAAAACAATACAGAGGAACACTGATGGAGAGTTAGAAACAGTAAAGACAGATTTTACTACGACCACAAGTTTTAGGCTTTCTCAATCAAAGGTTTACAGTTTGTAAAAATGTAGTTTTTAACCATTAAAATCAACCTCTAACCTGCTTTCAACATCCATATAAATACAATTTCTGCAATTAAATGTTTTGATTAAAGTGGCTTACTTGTCCCAAAATACTGAAATTTGTCTCCTAACTTCAGGTCAGTATTGCTTCCTTTTAGTAAATAAAAGTTCTCAAAGGTCCTGATTGATTCACTCAGCCCACTATACTTTTCTTTCAAGTTGGGAACACACGTCCAGATTTATAAAGACCGACAACGACAGTTATCTCACAGCGCTTTTCATAAAAGAGCAGGTCTAGACCGTACTCTGATACCACAGATATACAATGAAAAACTTGGAGCAGTTTGCAGCATACTTTTGTACCATTTTTAAGGTTTTCACTTGACTTTAACTACTTATATTTCAATAAAAACTGCAAAAGTGGTGGTCTTCTAAAAGGTTTGACTGGTACAAAGTTTTTGGGACAATCAACCTAATAAATGTGTAGCTGCTTTTTATGCTCTTGAAATTAAATGTACATGTCAATTCTCTAATTGCTGGTGTCATGAGGATTTTAGCAGCTAAAAATATGATCAAGATCAAGAAAGGTTTAACACTTTCACATTGTGGGCTGTGATGAACACTGCAGCCTGTAGGGGGCACCAGTGGCTGCTGAGAGGGGATTATACACTAATCAAGGGTGACTGAGACAAAGAGGAAGAGTTACCTGAGCTTGAACCTGAACCAGCGGCGAGGCCACAATCATCAGAGCCACAAACTCCACAAATATCAGAGCAGAAAACTGGAGAAGATAATCACAGGTTAGCTCCGCCCCCTGTGTTTTTGGACATATACTACTCATGTTGAGGGAACTCTCCTTCCTTTAGGGGAGAGAACGCAAGTCCCTTTTGTGTATATCATGAAATTTTTGGTGAGGACTTGGTTTATATGGAGGACCGATCCTGACACATTCAGAAATACAGAAATAAATAAATGCTCAATAAATAAATAAGCATTATTTCTGAATGTTTCAGGATCTGTCCTCCATAGGTTTAAGGTTAGGGTTAGGTTAGAAGCCAGAGGATTACATCTGAAAAAATGAAGAGTTAGGGGTTAGGCAAGTAGTGGTTATGGTTGGGTTGTCTTCAGGAAATAACCAGGTAAGTAATCAGGTTACATTAGTTGTTTTTTTTAACAAGTAATTTGTACTTGTACTGGATTACATTACATTTTTAAAGTGACCCTCCCAGCCCTGTCCGAAGTGATGGGAACATGAATGTGTGTGTGTGTCTCACCACCAACAGCAGAGTTTTGACGTCCAACGTCGCAGCACAGATGCCCAGCACAGACAAAACCATGGTGACCGGACCGAACACCTGCAGGAGCAGTAAACCATCGCTACTGGACAACTGGTCAAACAACTGGGAGAGAGAGAGAGAGAGAGACACTAAATGAATCCAAATTGAGCTGCATTTTATTAGTTTTTTCTCAATGTTTGGCTTCTTTAAAATTAATTACTTATTCTGATTATTCGAGCAGGAAAGTTTGTCCATCCAGGACTCCACAGATATAACACTGTCAGACTCCCAGTTCAAAACAAAAGGACCAAAATAGATAAAGCAGAACCTTCTTCTGTGTCAAAATCTGGCACCTACATTCCCAACAATATATCTCGTCCACCAATAATTCAGAGATTCGGGTATGTTATGTTGGTAGCAGCTAATGTAGCATGTAGCCTGGTGAGCTCACGTCTTTCTAACGCTACACCGACAGATTTGTTTCCTATTCAAACTTGTATCTTCATGACATCCCTTTACTTTCATCACGGACATTTATCAGCTCCTTCTGGAGACACTAAATACATTTGTGATCCGCCGTCCTTCCAGACTTCTGACTTGGACCATCTGGTATGCTTTCTGTTCCCAGAGTCAAATCTAAACACAGAGAAGCAGCATTAAGTTTTCATGCTCCACATGTCTGAAACAAACTCTGAGACTCCTCCGGTTGCCTTTTTTTGAGTCAAACTGAATAATTTTCATTCAGATTTAATTTTATTTTCTACTATTTGATCTGTCGAATAGCATTTTTTTCTTGAAATTTGTTTTGATCTTTTTTTATATTGCCTTGTCTTTCTTTAATATATTTTCATGGAGAAACATTTCGACATGAGTGTTCAATCACTCACTCACTCACTCATCATCAACCACTTATCCTGTGTACAGGGTCGCAGGGGGCTGGAGCCAATCCAAAGCCGGGGTATCGTAGGGTGACTTGAGTGTTTTGCTGTGAATAAACTATAATAGATTCGATAGGCTTTGTTTATCTATATTGTTGTGTACTCTACATTGTTGAGTATTTTGTGACTTTGTGTTTATTGACTGTCTCTATATTTATGTCCCATGTACACTTTATTTCACTTATTGCTATAAAGATTTAAGATTCTGACACCACATGAATGTACCATCAGTTGCAGTGAGCAAGAGAAGCTACGGTGGTCGACACACACACAGGCTTTTATCCTAAAGAAGACGTGTGGTCTTCCATTTGTCCACATTTCTCCTTTTCTTACTTCTAATAAACCAACTACTACTACCAGTACTACTATAAGTACTTCTTGTTCTTCTTTGTGCGTATTCAACGTAATGACGAAATGCACTCTTAACGTCCATGTAAGAGGACCTGCAGTGTGTGTAGATACAAATGGCTCATACTAAGGTAATAAATATGTAAGGTGTTTATACACCAATGAAAACATAGTTATGTATTTTATATTGCATTTCTGTCAAAGATCTTCCTAAATATTACACACTGGACCTTTTTAAGGTTAATAAAGTCATGGTACTGCTGCATTCACTTTCTACCTATTCAGTGAGTTGAGATTTTTGTCTAATGCTTCCTGTCTAATTTATTTATAATTAAATGATTAAATAAAATAGATTTTTGTGTACAGTAAATCATGTATTGACTAAAAGTTCTACAATGATTTTATAAAGTTGAAATAGACATATTTTTGGTTTTTCAGTTAAATCAGTGTCATTTGTTTCCCACTAATTTACTTTATGTGGAGATTAAGATCTTAAATGTTTATATTTTATTTATTTAATTAATGTCTTGTTCATATAGTTTAGCACTTATTTATTTCACACATCTGGTGCTGAAAAATAGACCAGCAGGCCGCACAGGACCATAAAACTTAATTTAAAAGCACACACAGTTACCTCAGCAACTAGCGTGTTGCCATCGATGGAGTAAAATCCGACGCCTATCATCACCATACCGGACACCTGTAGAGAGGTAATGAAGGAAAACGTTGGATTAAACTGCTGTAAATGTCGAGTTTCACAAAATGAGGAAGTCTTTAACAGCAGCTGCATTCCTCTGAAAATGTTCTGCTTCCCCAGAGAGACTCTCATCAGACTCCCATCAGCTGGGAACCCGTCTTCTGCCTGACAGTCAGAGTTAAAACTTTCACAAACACTCCTGCTGCACAGAAAAACTCATGAATGTCTTTAAGTTAAAGACGTTTCCAGGCTCAAGCAGCAGTTTTAGTAAATATTCTCACACTGAAACATTTTCTTGCAACTAGTTACTCCAGCTGCAGCGCTGCAGTTAAATGCAACAGCTAATAAAAAAATACTGATTTTATTAGACTTTGTTGGATTTTGAATTTATTTAATGCTGTCATAAACATCATACACAACACATTTTCAAAACAAGTAATAACAAAATAAAAGGGGGGAATTAAAACCTCAAAAAACACAAATTCTACATGTGATAAACACAAACTTGTATATGTAACACATCCAAGGTGTCCAAAATAAAGTGGAAACTGGTTACTAATTACTGTAATTCACTAATATAGTGTAAATAACACAGGAGCCAAAACAGGAAGCAGGAAAACAAGAGTCAGTAAACAGAAATCATGCCAATGGAATAGTTTCAGTGTTTGTGCAGCAGGACAGAAATTATTCGAATTAAAAGGCTGTTTTCCAGTTAGTTGTAATAATAATGACACGTGATAATTATATTAAATAAAGTGAACTTGAATCATTTATAGGCAAACAAATAAGTGGCTGAAAAAAGTCAAAGAATAAGGAGAGGAATGAGGGGATAAAGTGAGGAGAGGAAATATAAAAAGAGAGTGAGAATAGAGGGAGGGAAAAAGAGTAAATGAACTGGAAACCTAAACAAAGATTAACCACTGATTACACAGCCAAACACATTATTATGAAATGTGATTCATGTTTTTATGTAGACACACAGCATACAGTGAACAACATTTTTTGTTTTTAAAAAAAAGTCCATAAAATTGTTTTTAATGGTGACTCTAAAACACTTCTGCTACATCTCTGTACTGTAAATTTTTGTTCATTTGCTGACGTGTTGATACTGATATTAAATAATCAAACTTTATTTGTATAGCACCTTTCATACAGAATAGACCAATTCAAATATTTCTTTACACAGATAATAGCACAAATATAAACAGTAAAACAACTGGACAGTAATGGACACAGAAAATTGAAATTATCGAAAGTATGAAAAATAAATAAAAGTGAAATTTAAATTTAAAAATAAGAAATAAAAAAAACTTACATATTACATATACATATTAAACATGTAAAACAATAGACAAGTATTTTTTAATATTTAATAAGGTTAGTTTACAGGTAAAATTCACTTTCTGCAGTAAAATTTTAAATAAATCTAAAAAGTGCATCAATTTAAAGTGTAAAGCAGTGTGTCATCAGCATAGTGTCATCAGCAACATACTCTGTATAGATAAAAAATAATCTAAAATCGATCCTTGAGGAACCCCACAAGTTTTTTTTTAGAGTATATCTGTATAATATTTTACAATCTGATCATGATCATTGGTTTAATTATGAGGTGAACTATGCGAGATGTATTTAAAATGCCTAAACATTCTCACACTTCTAACCTATGTTCATTTCGACATGTGTTTTGCTAAAATTCCCTAGTTTGATACAAGGAATGTACAATATTTAACATGGTTAGTTATTTTCTCCTTTAATAATTTTCATTAAGGATACAAACATTGCTCTTAACGGATGTTTGTACAAAAGACTTTGTAAGTATGTGTAGATAATGTAAGTCATTTCAGGTTAGTTGCTGTTGTAAGATGTCGTAATAAAGGTCAAACGTTATCTAATCTGTACTGGATCACTTACCCCCCTACTTCCAGCACCCTTTCTCAGCACACACCCATCTTTGAACACAGCATTCATTTTGATCTCAACTACACACACAGACTCACAAGGTGAAAACAGTACCCGCAATACATACTCAAGACATCAGATTGTTGGGCAAGCAGTCTTAAAGTTATTAGAAAAAATGGAAATAGTGCAATTGTACAGTTTCATGACAACCTATCTGCTGATGAAGATCATGTGATATGATTGAAAGTTCTACATAAGGAAACAGACTAAATAACCTTCTGGTCAAATGAATGTTTAGTAGAAAACAATTAAAGCTGCTGTTTTAAAGTTGAAAAATGAATTTAAACCTTGATTTATGAAGTGAGAAAAAGTAATTTTCATTTAATTTGTCATCTATAAAACCTATTAATCAAAAGGTTAAAAAAAATACATTATTCAATATATAAGTATATTAGGGCTGTCACCGACTAAGGTTTTATATAGTCGAATCAGAATCGTCAAGTCCTGCCTATAGTTGAATCATGTGTGTTTTTGTGCACAGTGACTGTGAGCCGAAGCTAAACTGAAGCTTATTGTTGACCGTTTTCTCTCTCTCGCTATCTCTCTCTCACGCCCCTGCCATTCACCAGTCTTGTGCAGAGTTTTTGCCGTGCTGCACAACTGCATGCATGTCGCGGTTTCTCGAGGGTCTATTTCAAGTAGCGGCCGTTTAAAAATTATATAATATTCTTTGTGTGGTTCATCAACAGTGATAAATTATCCGAAAGTCCCGCGAGGTGTGGACAACTCAGCACAACACTGGTGAAGCTGGGGCTCCGTCTCTTCAGCAAGTGTTCCTCCACTGCCACCATACATGCGTACTGACGACCCAGGGTTAGGCTTATAATTTTGGATTTATTTACGCACTTTAAAAACATTTATTGGAATTTTTTTTTACATGTTTATTTACTGTATTAAACATTGAAATGTATATTGTAATAGGCTGTATGTTAACTTACTGGGAGAAAAGTGGTAGTACTATGTAAAGTCAGACTTTGAGCACCCCCATATCGCCAGAATGGAATGATCCTTGTTTCGCTGCGAAGATTCGACTGAGATTGACAGTCGAATCAGGCTCCGCCCATCAAAGCATCAAATCTTCGAATATTCGGGGTCAGCCCATATATATATATATATATATATGAATGCCCTCATAAATTTATTTTACCTCTATTAAACAAATTCTCAAGTTTTGTATTTTGCAAAAAGGTTTTACCAGTATTATTTTAAAATGCATTGCAAAAGGCAGTGCGGAATAAATATAAATAAAAGTTGTAAAAAAAAAACATGTTTTTTTCCAACTGCTCAACATCACATCCGTCAAAAGCAAACATAAACATGCTGTTAGCTGTTAGCGGTTAGCTTACCAGTAGCAGCACAGTGATACAGATGGCGAGCCCTCGCAAGTAACTCCTGCAGCGAGCCATGACTGCTGTCTGAGAGAGTCGAGCTAAAATAGAAACAGAGTAAAGACCAGAGCTGACCCGGAGAGACAGAGTGTGTGTTTGTGTGTGTGTGTGAGTGAGAGAGTGATGGATGTTGTTTAAAGCTCAAGAGTGTTTGGCTGCAGAGCGAAGAACATGACCAAGTTTGGAAGATCAGCAGGAGAGGGTGAGGAAGAGAGGAGATGAGGAAAGGAGATGAGGAAACAAAAGAGAAGAGGTTACGCCAGGTAAGACTTATATCTAACAAAGAGGAAAGGAAAGAAGGAAGAGTGATTGAGAAGTAGATATGAAGAGACCGAAAGAAGGAGGGAGGGAAGCGAGGAAGTGAAAGTATGATGAAGCTGAAAGAAGGATGCAAACAAGGAACAAGTGCATGGGAGGGGTGTCATTAATATAATAGCATGTTTATTTATACACGGGTTCATAAACAAAGTGCTTTGCAGCATAAAAACAAGTTGAAACCGCCTGACGTCCATTTCGCACGGCAGCAGTCAGACTCAACAAAGCAGCAGACGCCTTCTCGTTAACTACTTCCTCCGGCTCTTCCTCGTCTCCTCCCAGCTGGGCTCTGAAAACCTCTGATCAGATTCCCAACTCAACTGACTCCATTTTAGTGCAAAGGAGCTTCTGTTTAAGACTGCTTAAGGGTGTCCGAGCTTCTCACCTTGTCTCTAACACAGAGTCTCTGCAAAGGAAACGTGATCTCCTCTCAGCCACTTCAACAAGCTCATGACCACAGGTGAAGATTGGAATAAAGATCACTTTACATTATGTCCATCGTGAGTCTTTAGTCACAATCTTTGTCACATTCAACAACATGGATTTTGAGGCAAATCACAATTATATTGGATTACTGTGACGTAAATGGAGGGGGGAAAAAAACAGATGCACATCTTCCGTCACCCACCTCCATCGCTCTTTATTATGAAACCGCAGCAGAACAAGACACAAGCTAAGGCCTTAGCACCGACACTTTGTAAGTAAGACTTCAAAAGTGGTGTGAAGAGAAAGAGGGAACTACATGAAACACCCGTTGTGCAAAGTCTGAGGTAAACGTGTGTTTTAGCAGAAGCATTTTACATCATTCATGTCATATTTTGATTGTTGGGAGTGTCTGTACTAAAGCCTGTCCTTTAGTTACCGAAGCTCTAAGTCGACAGGTTGTGGACGTGTCCTATTGCGAGATCTAAGGCCACCATTTTCATTGATGAAAGATTCCACCACGCTCCATCTTTCCGTCACTCGTAAACAAGGTCCAGAGATACGTAAATAAGTCTCGTTCCCAACTGGGAGTGAGCCATCCACCACCTTCCTGAAGGTGTTGGTGACCCTCTGATGAGGTCTTCAGAACAAAATCACCTGCAATAAAAAAAAACCCAAAAAGTTTAAAATATTATCCTTTGACACAGAGACATCAGTTGAGCTGCTGATTGGACCATGTGGTGAAAGTTAATCTTGTTATCGAAGAAGCCTGACGTCCTCAAAGGAGAGCATATGTAGACAGAACAACAAATAAGACAGAGTAGAATAACACAAAACAAGAAAATCTCCATCGGCTGAAGAAGACCATCAGATGGAGTTGAAAGCTACAGATAAAACCTTGAACATAAGATTTTTGGTCAAAATGGAAAAACTGTTGGTTTTATTGCTATCTATCTATTTACTTTAACCAACAATAATAAAACTTTTTATTTTCTATCATTCTTTTAATTGTAATCATGATGAAAAAATTAACTTTTTTGTTATTTAATTTTACATAATGTTAAGCCTTTTGGATAGATAAAATAGGACAGAGAGGAATTCAGTGGAGTCATTAAGCACAGCGCTGTGTTGACTTTAGACTAAAAATAACTGAAGGGGACGGACTGTCTGTCTGCATGTGTTTATGCCCATACGTGTGTGTGAGCGTCAGTCATAAACAGCGTTCCTGTTCTCAGCTGGTTTCTCTGCAGTGTTTCCAAAAGGTATACAAATCCTTCGGATCGGTCGTATTAGCCAGCAGTGCTAATGATGATACACAATGACAGACACCACAGTAACATGGGACGGAAACCAGCTTGAACATTTTCATGCATCACTGTCCCATTGTCAGCAGCATAAACATCCATTAGATCAATTAGATACCTGACGTAACTCTTGTTCTATGAGTAGTTTTCTGGCTTGTTTTGTCCAACGTTTTCATAATGTGGAGTGTGATTAACATTACAGCCTCCAGAGGGACTTTATACTGTTAATGTGCATTCAGTGGCACCCTGTAAAAACAACGTCAGTCAGAGACATCGAGGAATCGAGGAATTCACCATTTATAGTAAATGGTTATATGGTTAAATTTAGCAAATTTGAGGCAAGCATCACAGATTATTCTGGGAGATTTAATCCCCCCGAGTAAACTCCTTGAAGAACAGAGAACTCTTGGTAAAGTCAACAAAACAAAAAGCTTCATTGAAAAAGTGGGAGGATGGAGGGATCTGTGGCAGTAAGTCAGAGGCAGAAAACAGTGTTTGAGATACCTCAGTGAGATGTAACTGATTTCACTCTTCAATTATTATCTGATAAGTTCAGAGACTGCAAATAGCTAATTATGCACACTTATAATCGCGCCAGTTTGCAGATATGGAAACAAAAATTGGCTAAAAAACAAACATTATAACTGCACATTGGAGCCTTACACTCTCGGGATGGTTTTCAGATTGGCTGCCACAAATATGTCCTAAATTTTTAAATTATGGTTCCCATAATGCTTAAACTAGGGATGCAGGGAAATGGCTGACTTTGTCCCCATCATTTTTTAGAGGATAATTTGTTAAGAATGTTCTGAAAAATAGCTTGCACACAGCAATGTTAACACAGAAATGAGAAAGGGTTATTTGCACAATAAGAAAACATGCAGCGCAATGTAAATATAAAATAAACAAATGTGCATTGTCCAAAAAAAGTAAATTAAGCTAAAAAAAAAAACAACCTACTGAATATAAAATGAGTCAAAAACATGCAGCACTGATCATTAACTTACACAAATTCTGGACACAGTTTCTTCTAGTCCAAGTTTTCTGTTCTCTTCCTGTGAACATGACAAACAGCTGTTGATTCTGGTTTGTGACATCTCGTTTCTGTAACGTTAAAGTATGCAGCATTGAAACAGCAAGGCAGTTTAACTTAACATGTAATGGTACAGTTGCACTCTTGCTCAGGGACACATTGGTGGATGTGTCACAGAGGGAAATTGAACTCGGGTCTCTCACACGAAAGGCATGTGTCTTCTCTCCCCGCTGTTAACGATACTCCTTAAGTTGTTTGTATTTTGTCATATTTTAGCGCAGTGATTTTGGACAGGCCTGTTGTTTTCGCTGGGCTCTCTTACATGGTGCTTTCTGTACAGTAGATATGTTGATGTGATTGATGCGGTCGACATTGTTGTGTGTTTTTATGCTGTGTATTTTCATATCATCGACTCTGTAGTAGTCTACACTACTACGTCCTTTTGATGTTTGAGGTTATGCAATATTTTTCCTGACCCGCCGTAATTTGTAATTATCTAAACCGACCTCATACTGTTACGTTTCCTAAAATCGTATATGCTGAAGACCTTGAAAAGTCTTTTCATCTGAGCCCTTATGTCACCGCTTTTAAACAAGTGTTCCTTGAACAGGAAGTGTAATGTTGTCATGGTGTCAGTCACTTAGTTGGCAATGGGCTACAATTTATCTTAGTCTATGTTTGTTTACATTTTGGCAAATTGTCCCCATTAAAAGTATGCCAGATTATTATTTCCTGTTTGCAGTGTACTTATGGATGTACAACTATCACAGGATCACTTTGCTTTTTCCCTCTGTCTCTCTCTTTCTCCTATTCCCTCTCTCAAGGTGACGTTAGCTGATTACTGTCCACCTGTGAACTCCAGGTCTGACTCCTCATTGGTTATTTTGAATCTTAAGGACCCAATCACCAACAAGAACAACTCTATATTAGAGGAGACCTCAATCAAGAGCTCAGTTCTACCTTGGCTGTTTCCGAAAAGTCAAAAAAAAAAAAAATCTCCTTTCCCAATCACCTTTCCTTGACCTTGATGGAAGACATCATGACATCAAGAAAAGATGTGAAGGAGATGTGAAGGACTTAGGAAACTTAGGAAAAGAGGACCATGGGGCTCAGAGAATCCTCTTTTCTAGGCAATGTAATTATGCGATGGCGGATGTTACTTATTGTTTGTAAACACGTTTCCCACAGAATGACGACCGAGCGAGAGGAGGTGCTGAGCGAATATGTGCACTGAACATTTTGGATAGTAAGAAAACATGGTCAGATAATGATAATGATAATGTGGCAGGCCGCTAAAAATAAATCAGTGTGTGGGAAACACTGAAATAAAACATCACATTTACTGTAGAGGTCATCCAGCTTGATCATGGCCTTTATTAAGGAGAGGGAGTTGGCATCTGTGACTGAAGTAAATGAATTAATGATATTGCTGAAGGCTGGAAATGCATAACTTGGACCTACATGCTGCAACATTATCCTCACTTTGATCAAGTTACAAGACACAGTAACACAGCTCGCACGGGTCTCAGTTCAAGTCATATGCAAAACTGTGGTTTAATGACATAGAACAACGTCTGAAACACCATAATTCTGGTAGCTGCATAGCTGCGCCAACAAAAAGTCTCATTGCTCAGTGTGTTTGTCCGACTCGGATCGTCACTGTTTAATCAGCCCACCTACGAGGCTCACCTGCCAAACTAACGCAGCATCACTGATCGCTGCATAGTGTTTTAGACTGCCGAGAGCTTCTAATCCAAGCAATACGGTTGCATCTCTCATGTGCGACGGGCTGTCACAGGGTTTTGACGTCATTTTTGGGCCTACATGGATTCCTCCCTGCAGGCTTTGGTCGGCTTCACTGTCCGATCTCTGGCTTACCCGCTTGGAATTCCAACAGCTCTTTTCATGGCTGCCACTGAAATACTTCCAGGTCATTTCACTCAGTCAGGAACCTTCCTAAGCCAAAAAGACTTTTCGGACTCAGCCCTTCTGTTGTGTTTCAATTTGTTGTAGAAAGAGGTACATGATAAATTAACCTGCCCCATTTTAATCGGTAAGGAAAGCTTAGTGATTGGTGAGTTGGAAGTGACAGGTGGATGAAGGCATGTGAAGCTTTCAGTTTGTGGTGATAAAACATACAGAGCGTCAGGGCTGGAAACACAGAGACATCTGGTGGCTACTGAAACGTATAGCAGCCCTTCAAGGCTGAAGCTGAAGCTCTACAACACCTCTGCAGTAAAAGTCCAAGAAGCCTGCGTGTTATTATTAAATGTGCAAAGTGCTGCATTAAATGTAGATGTTACTGTGCAAAATGCTACAGTAAAATTATTTATAAATGCATTGTCCAGAAATAATTTTGCTGCAACTTACTGGTATTAATTTTATACATCGCCATATTTAAACTGAATGAATCTTTCTGAAGCAGCAGACACGCGTTGAAGCTTTTCTTTCATTTGACACGATCTCTAATGTGTCTGTGTAAAGACGTTAGTGAGGTCTGTGTTTTGTCTTCTAGCGTAAGAGTTTAGTTGGGGTATTTTCAGTCTGTCCAGTTCCCCCCTACGTCAAGAGAATCTTTACGTACTATTGTGCAATACACAGTATAAGGCGGATGTGGTGCTTTTTCTCATTGCAAGACAGTGTGATTGTTTTGTCAGATATAGCAGGATCAAACAGATAACCAAGCAACAATAAGAAACCAATCACAACAACATCATTAGGTACAACAACATTTTGTACAACACCGAGACACAGCACAACAACAGTATTCCTTGTATGTGTTCACAAAGATGATTCTGAAATAATTTAAGGTCCACTTAGTATCTTTCAACCACATCACCAGTCTTCATGTTCATAGATGGGCTTGAGTAGTTGTTGTGAATGTCTTTAATCTTAATCGGAGCTTCCACTGACTCCTGGTCGATGACCTTTTGACCGTTTCCAACTTGACGCTTTGGTGTTCACTAAACATTTGATGTTGTCTTATTTAGTGTTCAGTCAGTCTGTAGTAAATGGACCTTTTTTTTAACTTGAAAAAATAAACTTGGCTGACTACATGAGGGAACTAGCAGACCGGATCCTGTGAAGCTTTGTAGAAGCTAAATGGTGAACTTTGATCCTGCAAATGAAAGAACAGTTTGGATTCATCTGGAGGAGGAAGCAAACCGAGTCCTGGCATTTATCAGAAATTTAACATTTAACCACTTTCACTTGTGACACAGACAGAGAGCCGGACAGCTGCAGCCAGAGCTTCCCTTCATCATTTATTGTATTTAGACAGCTGCAATGATAAAAACCATTTAAAACAACAGGCTGCAGACGCTCGCACAGGAAAATATCAGGCTGTCAAGACAGCGAACAAACAACATCCTCTGTTACATTTCATCACAGCATTCAGATCAGTCAGAGTCATGTAGGGTGGGGTCAGAGGGGTCCACACAAATCATCTTAAGAAGGTACATTTATTCTTTTGATATTAAACCCTCTTTTGGAAAATACTGGAGAATGCGGAAGCATCTTCTTGTAAGAAAATATGAATTGTAATGCGTCCCATTTGTATGACAAATTATGTCTCTTAGAATTGAATTTAACCATTATATTAGTATAATTATGGGGTTCTCAAGTCTAGTTTTATTTCCCTGGTGGAAGCAAACTACAAAAACTAAAATAAAACAGCAAATTTTAGAGAACTTCTTGTATAGTATGACACATTCTCAAACTAAATTCAGTTAGGTTACAAAACAAACGCATAACAGATTTCAACCAGTGCCTTTCAAAAAAACAAAAGCATTCATAAATGCAACAGTAACAAGATTTGGTGCAAAGAAACAAGAAAAAGAAATCAAGTTTTGCTCTACAAGATTACTACTTCTACACTACAAATATGTATAATGTAAAATAATCAAAGTACTGAGTAATATAACAATGTGATCTAAGATATTAAATCTATGCAGCAGCGTCAAATTCAAGGGTTGTTTTATAATGCCAATATAGTTATTATATCTTATGTTAGAACAGTGTAAGTGCACACACCACAACTTCATCTTCCTGAGGATTAATAGTAACCAAAGATGGCAGCAGACATTGCAACAGACAGTTATAGCAGTATATGTTTGGACAAAAAACTGTGGAAGCCCATTCCTGCCAAAAAGAAAACTAAACATAAAAAATAAGGCATTGCAGAAACAATTCTTCTTAGATATCTCAGAACTATAAATCAATATTTCATCATAATAATTCAATTTTGATGCATCTTTCATGTAACACAAGGATAATTTACACAATGAAACAGCAAAATAAACTGCATTAATAAAAAGTCTAGATCTGAGTGTAAGTAAAACAGAATTTAAGAATTTGTCATAATTATGAGAATTAATAATGATTTATGAATAAATCTGTCATGAGATAGTAACTTATTACAGGAATGAGGATTTAATATTTTAATCATACGTACCCACATTTATTGATTTTATTATTTTGGCAGTAATGGGTTTCCATACATAATAAGCTTTACATAATAACTGATTTAAACAGTGTTATTGACAATAATATTCCTACATGTTGTTCCTTGAGCCCAAAGTATAAACGACAACATAGACTAATGTTTTGTTAAACTAGTTATATACTTTGGTTTTGATATGAGTTGTTGGTAAAAAGTAATAGTTTTCACAGGATTTCTATACAGTTAAAGGAACACGCTGATATTTGACACATTTTTATTTTTGTTTTACTCCTACAACAATATCATTTTCACTTTTATTATATCAACAAAAATAAATGTAAGAAATGTCTTTAATTTATTCACTCGATTTAAGACTTTTATTTTACCCTCCTGTAATCACTGGTTAATTTTACACCTCCTCGCTTCACTTCTGCAGCATTTAGCCAAAAAACATTTATATATTGAACATTTCCACTATTTTGTCACTATAAGACTCCATATTCATATATAATGTATTTATGAGATGAAATTTAAACCACAATATCAGCGTGTTCCTTCACAGTAAAGCACGGGTTAAGGTACAGTAGCACTGAGGTTAAATGATGCATGTTACGCAGGTCATCTGGGCACTGCTGATTGGCTGTAGCCAGGCAGCGAGGGGGCGTGGCCATGTGTGAGTGTTCAGGCAGTGGTGACGGTGGCCTCCTTTCTGCCAATCTGACAGTAGAGAATCATGGAGAAGACCATGCCGAAAATCTGCAGAAAGAAAGGAAACAAATCAAAAACAAACACCAAAGACAGCCACCATATTTAAAAATATTTAATTGAGTTTCATTTTATGCTGTAAATAATCAAGTCTGGTCAAAACATGTTTTACATTTTGTTTAGTTAAAACATTCTCTGTATGTTATGTAGTTAAATAAAGTAAAACATTGTTTTTTGTACTATTTACGAGTGTACGAGTGCTCATAAAAAGCACATTTACCATAAATTTCAACTGTGTACCAAACATTTCTGATCTCAACACTTCCTTTCTGTTTTCAAAATAAAAGCCCTGGAGTGTTTTGGTGAAATATTTGCAGGACTGTATTGTGGAAAATTCAGGAACTTGCACAGTTCTGATGTTATTCCGAATGTTGCTATTACCATCTGTTAGTTTTTTTGTATTTTTTACATATAAAGTTTTACTTTATTTAACAATGCCCTACCCTATTTTATTTTTATTATATTTTTATGTTAATTAAATGTGCTATATATAGTAACTCGTTATTAATCTGCGTAGATAATGTATATCCTTTTAAGAGTTGAAATATGTACTATGTATATATATATATATATATATATATATATATATATATATATATATATATATCTTAAAGTTGCTTAATGAAACTTTAATCTTAAACTAACAAAGTTACCAATGAAGTTATTATAACTATTATAGTTTATTATATAGCTAAAAGCCTTGATTACTTTCAGCATGGCTGTATCTCATGGGGAATGATAAAATTGTAAAAAGGGTGTGTGTGTGTGTGTGTGTGTGTGTGTGTGTGTGCGCGCGCTGACCATCAGGATGGCGACGGCGAAGGCAATTCCCAGCACCACCTGCATGTTTTTCTGCAGCAGATTGGTGATTTGGGTAGCGCAGGGCTGCAGGACGAAACATGACATTGTTATATTTTTGTCCATTGTAATAACACTATGATAAATGTTAAGCAATGGATTGATTGGTTTTCAGAGATATTAATCAACACCACTCGCTGCTTGGCAGGAACGAAGGACATCAATCTAAAAACCAAAATGTCCAATATCATAGGAAAGAAAAACAGGTTTTCTGTCTCACCGTGCTGTAGACGCCGTTTGAACATGCTGGCTGTGTGGCATTGCAGTTGCAGGAGCTGGGAACCTGGCTACTCCAGTCTGATGGCCCATTCAATACACCACAACACTGCAGCTGGAAGGAAAATACAAAAACCCGTAAGATTCAGCTGTTCGCAAGGCTGCGGGAGAACAGCAACCACTCATAAGTGTTCGATATTTCCTCCTGGTTCACAGTTTCAGAGCTGGCTGAACCCAAATTGCTTTAAAGAAAAAAGGTAATAACTACACACTTTCTCCATGTCACAAAAGTTTATTAAATGACAACGTTTAGATCCTACTTGGATCTTCATCAGGTCAGAATGACAAAGATCCAAGTAGAATTCAATTTTAAAGATGTAGTACTTTTCTTTGTTATACGTGACAGTAAACTGAATATATTTGGGTTTTTGACTATTGGTGTAATGAAATAAATACATTTGAAGATGCCACATTGAGCCCTGGGAAATTATTAGTTTCAGCTGTGTATGTTCCCCCCTTATAGTATCTCACAAAAGTGAGTACACCCCTCATATTTGATTGTATCTTTACATGTAACAACACTGAAGAAATGACACTTTGCAACAATGTAAAGTGAGTGAAAATTAGCCATTTTCCATCCCCGGTGTCATGTGACTCGTTAGTGTTACAAGGTCTCAGGTGTGAATGGGGAGCAGGTGTGTTAAATTTGGTGTTATTGCTCTCACACTTTTCACTTGAATTCAACATGGCACTACTTTGTCACATGTAAAATTATAATCAAATATTTACAAAAACATGAGGGATGTACTCGCTTTTGTGAGATACTGCATAACCCATATCTTCCTCACTCCATCACATGCTCGTGTTTGTGTGTGTGTGTGTGTAACATACAGGGACCAGGAACATAAATTTAATTACACAAGCCTGCGCTGTAAAATGACATGAACACTTGAAAACTTTGATTACAATCCAGGTCAGCTCCTCTGCACAACAACTAGTTCCAGTTCTCTCTCTTGATTTGCTGCAGACTTTATCAACACAATGTATTTATATTGACCAAGTAGAGTTTTAGACCTTGAGAGTGTCCACGTATTGTGTGTGTGTGTGTGTGTGTGTTACCTGCTTCTGCATGCTCTCCAGATCTGCTTTCACATCAGGTGGTTGATTTGAAAGTGGGAGCAACTTTTCGAAATTGCTCTTCACCCATTCATTCACCTAAGCAAATGCAAACAAACAAAACAACCACATTTACGCTTCCAACAAACGGATAAGACTGCAGGGTGACGTGAGGACGGCGTTTCTTCCAGTTTTACCTGATTTGATTTTATGGCTCCCAGGATGCCCGCTGCCAGCAGGAGGATGAAGATGATGAGGATGCTGATGAAGAACTGAGGGAACAGAGAAGGAGGGTTGATTTACAGCAGAGTTACAGCTGAAATTGTGGAAAAGAATGTTACTAAATATCCTGAAAACGTTCCCTTTATTTACAGGCTCTGTAATTTCTCTCGTTATATATATTTTAGTGAGAGTTCCAATCTGTTCCTGTTTTAATTAGCGGTCTCCTGCTAATACAGACTCTCAACCGATGTCAACAATTGTTTCATACTCACCGCTCAAATAGTGTTATATGCTAATTATTTTCAGTGGTTTCCATTTTGCTTTGTTGTTTATTTTATAATCACCGTTCAACTACTGTCTATAAAATCTAAAACTTTGTGCAGATATCTCATTAATCTCTTCAATCACAATCCCTAATTTGTTAAATAGCTACTTTCTAAAAATTGTCCAAAATTGTGTCCCTCTCTATTTCTGAAATCATTTTGATTTTATTAGATTAGGATTTCAGAGCTAGTTGCAGGCGGTAAAAAGTCTGGCAGGGGAACAAGTTATTGTCTGTCCACTGTCAGTAACTACAGTCAGGGATGAATTAAAAAATCACAAATACTGGTGCCTTTGCTGAAGGTTTTAAAAAAATAAAGACAATCTTCTCTAAAACTATGATTAAAGTAAGAAAACATTCAAAAAACACAGAAAGAATAATTTGATTCCCACCATCAGCAGCATGCAGCGGTTCTCTCTGATGGCTCCGCAGCAGCCCAGGAAGCCGAGCACCATGATGATCGCTCCGATGGCGATCATCAGGTTGACGCCAGCAACAGTGTCATCGGTGATCTGAAGATATGAGGTGGTGGGAGACAGCGAATCAGTATTTTACACTTGTGACGACAGACAGATATGTACATAACAACATTAAAAACTGTGACTCACCATGCTTATTTTGTTGCCAACTCTCAGGTAGATGGAGACGGCAAGGATGATGCAGCCACTGAGCTGGAAAGAGGGAGAGAGGTGAGATTTAAATGTGCAACAAGCATAAGTTGAGTTTTTTTGGTGAAGAAAACCTGCAGCAACTCCAACAGGGAACAAGAGAGTTTGTTTTGATCTACTGAAAGTTTCTAGAGCACATTAAAAGCTAGTGCACACTAAATAATTAGAACTATACTCTAACTAACTAGCACCCTGATTAGGATAAAATTGTTTGGGTTTATGACCAAATACCTGCAGAACTAATGACACTGATGATGACACAAACTTGATGGTTTCTTGCATCAAACAAAAAGAAAGCAGTTTATTATAGAGGCTATGTAACAGACACCAGACTGAAGCTACTGCAGAGCTTCTCTTATCATGCAACATTGTTCCCTCATCTGTTCCTGTCTTTTGTCAAACAATAAATCAAATTGGATCAAAGACAAAACCAGCAGCTGATCATCAGGAGTACATGGACAGACTTCTGTCCAGCTCCTCCCTGTGCGGGGGTTCAGGATTGATGAGTGACATGTATTATTCAATACTCGCACAATTAGCCGACACAAACACGCCTCTCTGAGTAATAATCTGCCATCAATATTTCATCCTCAGAGCTGTCGGCACGCAGCAGAGAGAAGACAGAGCCGGAAAACAGAGACCAGTCAGAGGACACCACAGCAGCGTTTCCATGGAGAGAAACAGAGAGCGGATAATTAGGGGATGTTGATTAAATGGACGCAAATGAAGAAAAATACAGAAATGCACTGCTCAGCCTGAGCTCACAGGAACCTTGTGAAAGGTGTCTTGCAGTCGAATTTATTATTGTAATTAAAACTTTTAAACACAATACTTCTATATTTAAAATAAGTACAATCCAACACAGTCTCACTCCCTACTCGTCAAATGTCTGACGCATGGTCAAGGCCCTTTGTCATCGCTTTTTAAAGACTTGGGTAGCCCTTTTGCATCAATTATTGACGTTTAGGGATCCACAGTCAAGTTAGCAACGCTTAGCAACAATAAATATGCAATATCCGGTTACACTTTCAAGATAAAACGTAACGTTTCGATACATTGCCATGTTGAAACGCGCATAATTAAAGTCGTGAAACGTTGCAGTTTCGTTAGGTTTAGGCACAGAAAGTACTTGGTTAAGGTTAGGAAAAGATCATGGTTTGGGTTAAAATAGCTATGTATGTCAATTAAGACTTAAGTTAACTAACGTTAATGTCAATTTACCTCACTCGCCTAAATAAAAACATTTAATGTTTTGTTTCGCACGGGACACAAACCCTGTTCTCCTGCTTCAAGGTCCGGGTTCTGGCCCTCTATCCACCCCAATCACCTCCTTACTTCGTCTTTTCTCTTAAATGTTATACTTGCCTTTACCATCAAAAACTGACACAACAGGGCTTCCCTCAATACGTCGAACTATGACGTCAAAGGGATCCCTAGTGCGTCACAAACTGACGATTATGGCTCTTGACCAAGCGTCCATATGTGACGACTTGGGAGTGAGAACAGGTTGTACAATCTTGTCATGCCATTTACCCGAGTGAAAACAACCAATCAGAGCCAGGAGCAGTCACTAAAGCCCTGTCAGTAAAGGCTCGTGCACAGGCTGCCCCCCTCCTCACACATGCTCCCACTCAGTTAAGCTCAGTATCGTCAGCTCGCGGCTTCAGAAGTTTAGTAAAGACAATATCTGCGGAACAACCAGCAGCAATGAAAGAACTGCCCGTCCGTACAAAACACGCCCCGGCTCCGCAAAGAGCTTCGTGCTCAGCATGTTCGATGACAAAGAGGCATGATGACAAACAGTGGGGAATAACTTTTGAGGGGGGGGGCAACCTCTCATCCCGCTGTTAGACGCTGACGCAGCTGCCTCTGAAGCCTGGGGCGCGTCAGAGGGACGTCTTTGAGAAGTTTATGCAAGAGGGACCAGGGTCTTGGCGAGACTCTCGCCATGGAGAGCGAGCTTTACACAGGAAGGGGCTTCGAAAGGCAACCAGATCCTTCTGCTGCTGTGGGAACATGTATGTTTAGTGGGAGGGGCTTGGTTTGACCAACTGTAAAAAAAAATAAAAGGCAAACATAAAAACAAGAATCCAATAATAAAAATGACCAGGAAAAGGGACAACTAAAATATGTGTATATACATGCAAACACGTTTCAGTCCATGAAAAGATTTAACATCTTATTAACATTATTAACACAATTGTTTGTACATAAAGTGACTGAAACAAGCCAAACAATTATTAAGTTTATCAAGAGGATAACCTCCACTTTAAACAACAATGGAAAAAAGTATTTTAGTCTTAAGCTTAACTTCTCTATTTCATTTTATTCAGTTTGATGTCAATGTTTGCTTCACAGTGTTGATCACTTGAGCTTAATCACACATGAGCTGAACAATAAAGGCTACATTTAAAAAAAGGATCATTCACTCGACTCCTGAATGAAGGGAAAAGGCGTGACAAACAAAAGGCCATGACCTGTGTGCTTACAATGTTGGTGCGCACACACACACACACACACACACACACAGGTAGTGCCACCACACCCTCAGCCTGTTTGTACACCAATTCAGAACTGCTGAATAAATAATGGCATGTTGAAAAGTTTACTGGTCTTTCTGAGTCACACCTACACAAAGACACACCTGACCAGTGAAACCAGCGCGACCACAGTCTGGTGATTTTCTTGACCAATCGGCAACAACTTCAGCTGAGTCACTGCTTCAGGCTGTTAAATGTAAATAGTCTCAATCTCAGTCCACAAACACAGCGTCATTTGATTGTGTTGGTGACATTATATTGACCTAACACTTTTTATTGACTGAAAGCAGCTATATAATCTATATTTTTATAATCATATCTATGACTGTGTGACTATGTAAAAGGCAGCAGAGCAGTGGTCAGCAACAGGCGGCCCGCGGGCCAGAGCTGGCCAGATTGCTTTGATAGCAGAAAAATAAAAAATGAATAAATTGATAGGGGCTGGTGCTGAATTAGATCTCTGTCATGACAGAAACAGTTACTCACAATCACTTCCAAAATAAAAGCGTGAAAATGTTTTTGCAGCAATGCTTGTTGTTGAGTTCATTGAAAGCTTTTACTTTGAAAGGTTCTAAAGGACTTTCGAAAGACTCTGGCTTACTTGACACACCTCTGTAAAAGCCGTCAGTAAACATGTGATTGGATTCCCTTGAATTTTCTCAGGGAAATGAAAATTAGTGTCCATAGGTTTATGAATGTGGATCAAACACGGGGTGACGCACACACACTGCGGCACATGCTTTATTGCGAGCATGTGCAAAAGTGTCCTTAGGGGCTAATCAATTTGTTTAACAAGGGAGAAAAATAATTAAAATACTCTTTTAAAACTCTTTTAAATGACTGGATATGAGATTGCACAGTGGAGGAGAGATTTCCGGCTTTCCAGTTTTATCTGCTTTATCACTGGAAAAGCAAAACTCCCATTCAAAGCTGATGTGGTTACAGGCTGACAGATTCAAACCTGTAACATGAACCCTCACCGAGCAAACCTGCAGAACAACATAGCATGACAAATCCGAAAAACAACAAACACTCCCTCTGAGCCTGCAGCAGCATGACGGCACTGACGGACTGATCCCAGATCAGAGGGCGTGGTTACAAACCAGGATTACACTTTTATTAAATCAATTTTGTTCCCATATGTGACCAGATGTATGTATGTGTGTATATAAGTGTGTGCTCTAACATCTGTATATGAAAGGTGTGAACATTTCGTTTTGTACATTTTTATTTTGTCATTGTAAATCTTATTATTCATGTATGTTTTTTATGTATCTTAACTCAACATCAGCCTGCCCAGGGACTACAGGTGAAAATTAGCTCTTGAGCTAAAACCCGGTACAATGCATCTTCCCCTTTGAGGTTAATGTTTATTGTACGTTGTCCCTGTTTCTCTAAATAAAAGAAGAAGAAAAAAATGATCAGGATTTCAGTTACAGTTGATCAGGAGCAAGAGAACATTTATCAGGACTGAAGTTTTTAAATTACATTTAATCAAGAATACAATTCTGACTGATGAATTAGTCAATTCATTGGTTACTAACTAATTGGTTAACTGGTTGCAGCTGAAAGGATTAAAACTAATTGGAATTACAAATAATCAGGTTTAAAGGTATCAGGATTATAGCAGATCTACGGTGAATTAAGTCGTATTAAATCATTCAAATTACAGGTGATCCAGTTTACAGTTGTTGATTCCATCGGATCAGGATTGCATTTGACTGGGATTACAGTTATACAAGATTTAGTTTGGATTGGATTGCAGCTAATTACACCTGATCAGGAATAAAATTAATTAGGGTTTCTTACAACTACATCAAGATTACAGTTGATGGGGATTAACGTTAGTTTGGATTAATTTCATATCATGATTACAGTTAATTTTTCAGGATTACAGTTCCAGTATGCTCCTCTGTTCTTTTTAACTTGTACTGTTTGTTTTTCTTGCATTTAAAGCTATTTATACCACCTTGAGTATAAATTAATTGGTCGTGCTTGTGTCTGAAATCACATCCTCATTCATTCCATCACTATCACTGAGTTCCCTGAGCCTCTACAGTATGTCCCTGCAGGGCTCCTGTAGACGTACAAAACTGCAATGTGGAAAAATCACTGTTGTTAATTGCACACCAACTAATTCTCCTTCTTGGGAAACATCAAATAAACATTGTGGTGATAATATTAATAATGACAGCAAGTCAATCATGCTGACAGTTAAACTGAAGGTGGAACAGAACATTAATTCCTCAGCAGTGACTCACAGGCAGCAAGTAAACCAGTAGTATTGAGTCACCGTGTACCTGAGATACAAACTGATCCTTTGATTCATTGTAAATCCATCCGAACAATGAGCAGACAGTACATTACACAATTACCACAAGTGACTGATACACGGCAGTAATGCAACTAATAACAGGCAGGTGTGTAGTCATGAGCCCACAGAGCCTGTCCATGCCTGCCAGA